TACTTGCTCAACCATTGCAATTTTTGGTCTATTTATATGTTTTTGTAGTAATTTATTAGACTACTCAATCAATGCACAAAATAGACTATTTTATGAAAAATTACATCATTGTGCAAAAGGGTGCTTGGATATTTCGCATCCAACTATTCAAAAGAATAATTCATATTTTGTGACTGCCAAATTTAGAAATGATTTTCGCAGGCTAGTCTAAATTTAGTAACGATATTAGCGGCAATTTCATCATGAACATTGTAAACTTGTGCAACTTTGAGCCCTTCTAACTGCGCAATGCTGTGACATATCAACAAAATGAAATCGTAACTTTGTAGAGAAAGGTCTTAGCTTCAAAATTACGGCTTATTTTTTTGGTGTTACATTTCCATTTTTGGAGTTAGAGAAGGATCTACAAGAACAATAAAAAATTGTGGGACTAGGTGTCTTGCACTATAGAGTTATTACAACTTTAAAGTCAAACCTATTTTCAGATTACTAATTAAAATTCTCAGATTACTAATTAAACATTGTAAAATTATAAGTGAACGCTAAGTGAATGCTAACCAAACAATATACAAACCCTTAATTTGCTGAAACTATTGCTGAAATTTATTAGTTTAGGCAAACTTCTATAGAGTCTTAAACCTGATTCCAGAAATGCAATTGCAAATAATTTTTTTACAGCCAACATGTTTATTTTTCGTTGTTCCTTTGTGAAAAAGAAATGAAAGGTCAAGCATCACACTTCCTTTGAATTTTCAGATAGAATTTTCTTTGAAACTACCAAGTATTATCTTATAGAGATTTTTCAAGAATACAAGTCTATGAACAAGGAGTGTTTCATCCCTCACGGTATTGCATATACCAACAACAGTTACAAAAAATCCAAACTTGGGAAATCCTCAATGTCATGACCACAGAGTAAAAGCGCAAGCTGCATTAATAGCCTTTGAGGTAAGGACTGATTCAAAATTCTTGCCTAATCTCTGCGAAGCTCGGCGTACTTAATCTTCTGACAGAAGGTGCTGGATGTGTGCCTAATCTTCTGACAAAAGGAGTTCTGAAAGGTGCTCAGGGTTCGCCTAATCTTCTGTTAGGAGAAGTTTCTAACCAATAATTATCTAGAGAAGAAAATTTTTGCATTTGTGTTTTACTGGGATATTTTCTCGCAACCCTTTTTTTAATGTTATTGATTTACATGTATATGAGTGCGCAATATTAATTGCTTACTGGCTTATCCATTATACAATAACATGTTTAGCTGAAGCCGCTGCAATTTATTGTAGAAAAGTTTTGGGCGAACATTTCAAAGTTCCTTTTGGAAGTAAATAAATATTTTCATAATAATTTATTTTTTCAAAGGAAAATTTTTATTTAAGAATTGGTAATTAATATTTATTTTTTTTTGTTAGAATCATTTTTAATTGTAGATTGTGGAGGTGGAACAGTAGACCTGACAGTTCGTCAATTATTAGATGATCATAGTTTAGAAGAAAAAACAGAACGTTCAGGAGATTTTTGTGGTGGAGTCTTTGTTGATCAAGAATTTGCTAAATTCCTTGGTCAAAAAGTAGGACACCATGCCTTGAAATCTTTTAAAGAAAACCATTATGGTCGATATCAATATATGATTCATGAATTTTTTCATAAAGAAAAACATCGATTTAATGGCAACGAAAATGAATTTGACGTGATCGACTTTGACCTACAAGATTATGCACCATTGTTAATCGACTATATCACTGATGATTTGTTGAAAAATAGATTGGAAGTGGATGAATGGCAAGTCACATTGGAATTTCATCATATGAAATCATTTTTTGATCCTGTTATAAATAGAATTATTGGATTGATAGATAAACAATTAGAACATGTAGAAGAATGTTCTGCGATGTTCTTGGTTGGTGGATTCAGTGAATCGAGATATTTACAAAATGTAATCAAAAAAGAATTTCACGATCGAGTCAAGAATATTTCCGTGCCTCGTCATCCTATGATAGCTGTTGTTAAAGGCGCAGTGGAATATGGTTTGAATATGAAGTGTGTTAAAAATAGAGTTTTGAAAAAAACTTATGGTGTCAAAATGTTCAAGGGTGATTTGTTGACTGTATTTTTATCCGAGGTCATACTTGATACGAAAGTTCCGAATTTTCATCCTCTTGTAACTCGTGGTACTAAAGTTGATGTCGACGAAGAATTTTCTGTTATTGGTTCACCATTACATCCTAGTTCGAAAACCGTGTCTATCCAAATTTTTGAAACATTAAGTCGTAATCCTAAATTTTATGATGAACCTGGAATGAGAGAATTAGGAAAAATTAAAGTTGATTTACCTGAAAATCCAAATACAAACAATTCAAATGGAGCATCTTCATCAAGTAGTGACAACAACCAAGATAATTTAGATGATGATGATGTGGATGATAAACGTTGCGTTGAAATAATTTTACGTTTTGGTGAGACAGAAATAAAGGCTATAGCTAAAGTTAAAGGAACTGGCGAAATTCGTGAAGCACTAATAAATTTAGAATTGTAATTTTATTATGTATTATTATTAGAAATTTTTTGATAATTGATTTTCGTTGATGACGAAAATGGGAATTATCATAAATTAGAAATTGTTAAAAAACGATTTAATTGTTATAGATACAAATCGCGATGGCGTATTTTTGGACCAAGCAAGAAAAAATAGAAAATTTTATCATAAACATTCATAAACGTTATAAATGATATTATGTAAATTACTGTAAAGTTCGGAAGGATAGCACCCCAAAAACATTTGAAACAACTGTTAATATTAATATTACATGGTTTTAAAAATTGGGTGCTATCTTTCCGGTATGTAAACATTATTATTTTTATTATTTATTACAATAAGGAATAAAATTAGTGGGTTTTTTTTTTTTTTTTCATATGTAGGTTAAAGATCATTTTTGTCCATTCGGTTGATGGTGTCACTGATGTTGCAAAAAGTCTTGCCCAGAACGTGTCTTGCTAGTAACATAATCTATTGGATGGTGGCAATAATTGGTATTATCTTGTGAAGATAAACATAAAGTGATTTTATTACCTATACCAGCTGTTCCCACCGCACTAGGAATTGATAGCGTTCTTGTGCAATGATTCTGCCATATAGAGCATTACAAATGTTGCGATTAACCACGTTAGTGGAACCGTACAGATTACGATCTTTGAAATGCATGGCATTAGCGGTGTAATTAATTGTTTTTGGACTGATTTCGCATCTCGTAAAATATTGATCATGATATGGTCAAACTGTTTTGATGAGCAGGCAATTTATTGATTTCTTTTTTTTCTTGTCGGCCCTGATAAAAAAGAGTCATGAGAAAATATTCCATAAGGCGTAAATTCAAAATTTTTCTTCTCTGGATAATTATTGGTTAGAAACTTCTCCTAACAGAAGATTAGGCGAACCCTGAACACCTTTCAGAACTTCTTTTGTCAGAAGATTAGGCACACACCTGGATTCTTCTGTCAGTAGATTAAGTACGCCGAGCTTCGCAGAGATTAGGCAAAAACTGAAAAGGTTTTTGAATCCGTCCTTACCTCAAAGGCTGTTAATATAGTTTGTGCTTTTATTCTGTGGTCATGGCGTTGAGAGTTTTCTAAGTTTGAATTTATTGTAACTGTTGTTGGTATATGCAATACCGTGAAGGATGAAACATTCCTTATTCACAGATTTGTATTCTTGAAAAATCTATAATATTTGGCAGTTTTAAAAGAAAATTCTATCTGGGAAATTCAAAGAAAGTGTGATGCTTGGCCTTTCATGGGAAAATAAACATGTCGGCTGTAAAAAATTATTTGAAATTGCATTTCCGGAACCAGGCTGTCCTTCTGAAACAACTAAATCCTAAAAAAATCTTCATGTGAATATGTATACTATCCAAAAATCCAGATTTTTTTCATCTAATGTTAATTTATACCTTGAATATAATACTTACATTCACAACATTTAATAACCGGTATTTTATATTGCTCTTCAAGAGTTTCAGAGAGCATTTGTCAATATACCAAATTGATTTTTCTAAGTCATGTACAAAGTGCTAACTGATATTGTGAGATCGTATACAAGGATAATTGTTTATAACAATATACAACTTATACTAAAGTGTAATTATGACCTCTGCGAATATATATCCATTGCTTTACTATCTTCCGCCATTATATGCTGACCACGCTTCTTGGTAAGTGCCCTCCACTTAACAAGTTAGACATGTATAACTTTCAAGATCCTGATCATGTTTCTTCCTATTAGCTGTCACTAGAGGTTGGAATCGTCAAAAAAATCCTTAGTCGACTACTAGTTGGTCAAAATTTTCTTTAGTTGACTAAATTTTTTTTTTATAATAATAATATTTCGTTTTATTTTTATTTTTATTTTTTTTAATTTGCAAATTACGAACTAATTTCCATTTGAATTTTTCACTTTTTCAAATGCTTCCACACAAAACCATGTGTTTACGATTCGTTTTTTTAAAGGTCTTCTGGAACCACCGCTTAAATCATTGGAAATTGAGGCCAATGAACTATTGGACCTTGTATTGGAAGTGTTTATTCATTTGCATGTAAAATTATCATCAACATATTGTCGTCGTCATCACATTGATGGTATTGATATTCTTCCGCATAGAAATTTTCCATTTTGAATGATAAAAATCGTAATTGGTCAGACAATAATAATATTAGTATGGTATCAGTATTAGTATTAGTAGTATTAGTATTAGTAGTCGACTAATTAGTCGACTAAAATAGTCAACTAAATAATCGACTAAAATAGTCGACTAAATAATCGATTAAAATAGTCGACTAAATAATCGATTAAAATAGTTGACTAAATAATCGATTAAAATAGTCGACTATTAGTTGTTCAAAAAAAAGTTTAGTCGATTCAAACCTCTAGCTGTCACTCCCTGCATAACCAAATCAGGTATATACAATAAAAATAAAAAA